ATCTCTCTCTCATGACTGTAGATCTCTCTCTCATGACTGTATCTCTCTCGTGACTGTAGCTCTCTCTCTCTCATGACTATCTCTTGTCATACCTCTAGCTCTCACTCATGACTGTAGCTCTCTCTCATGACTGTATATCTCTCTCTCATGACTGCAGCTCTCTCTCTCATGACTGTATCTCTCTTATGACTGTATCTCTTTCATGACTGTATCTCTCTCAGGACTGCAGCTCTCCCTCATGACTCTAGCTCTCTCATGACTGTTTCTCTCTCATGACTCTATCTCTCTTATGACTGTATCTCTTTCATGACTGTATCTCTCTCATGACTGCAGCTCTCCCTCATGACTGTAGCTCTCTCATGACTGTTTCTCTCTCATGACTCTATCTCTCTCATGACTGTGTTTCTCTATCATGACTGTATTTCTCTCATGACTGTATCTCTCTCATGACTGAAGCTCTCTCTCATGACTGAATATCTCTCATAACTGTATCTCTCTCTCATGACTGTATCTCTCTCATGACTGTAGCCCCTCTCATGACGGTAGCTCTCTCTCATGACTGTATCTCTCTCATGACTGTAGCTCTCTCACATGACTGTAGCTCTCTCATGACTGTATCTCTGTCATGACTATCTCTCTCTCATGAAGATCTCTCTCATGACTGTAGCTCTCTCATGACTGTAGCTCTCTCTCATGACTGTATCTCTCTCTCATGACTATAGCTCTCTCTCATGACTGTATCTCTGTCATGACTGTGGCTCTCTCTCATGACTGTATCTCTCTCTCATGACTGTATCTCTCTCACGACTATAGCTCTCTCTCATGACTGTAGCTCTCTCTCATGACTGTAGCTCTCTCATGACTATATCTCTCTCTCATGACTGTATCTCTCTCTCTCTCATGACTGTATCTCTCTCTCTCTCATGACTGTATCTCTCATGACTGTAGCTGTCTCTCATGACTGTAGCTCTCTCATGACGGTTTCTCTCTCATGACTGTATCTCTGTCATGACTATCTCTCTCTCATGAAGATCTTTCTCATGACTGTAGCTCTCTCATGACTGTAGCCCCTCTCATGACGGTAGCTCTCTCTCATGACTGTATCTCTCTCATGACTGTAGCTCTCTCACATGACTGTAGCTCTCTCATGACTGTATCTCTGTCATGACTATCTCTCTCTCATGAAGATCTCTCTCATGACTGTAGCTCTCTCATGACTGTAGCTCTCTCTCATGACTGTATCTCTCTCTCATGACTATAGCTCTCTCTCATGACTGTATCTCTGTCATGACTGTGGCTCTCTCTCATGACTGTATCTCTCTCTCATGACTGTATCTCTCTCACGACTATAGCTCTCTCTCATGACTGTAGCTCTCTCTCATGACTGTAGCTCTCTCATGACTATATCTCTCTCTCATGACTGTATCTCTCTCTCTCTCATGACTGTATCTCTCTCTCTCTCATGACTGTATCTCTCATGACTGTAGCTGTCTCTCATGACTGTAGCTCTCTCATGACGGTTTCTCTCTCATGACTGTATCTCTGTCATGACTATCTCTCTCTCATGAAGATCTCTCTCATGACTGTAGCTCTCTCATGACTGTAGCTCTCTCTCATGACTGTATCTCTCTCTCATGACTATATCTCTCTCTCATGACTGTATCTCTCTCTCTCTCATGACTGTATCTCTCATGACTGTAGCTGTCTCTCATGACTGTAGCTCTCTCATGACGGTTTCTCTCTCATGACTGTATCTCTTTCATGACTGAAGCTCTCTCTCATGACGGAATATCTCTCATAACTGTATCTCTCTCTCATGACTGTATCTCTCTCATGACTGTAGCCCCTCTCATGACGGTAGCTCTCTCTCATGACTGTATCTCTCTCATAACTATCTCTCTCATGACTGTAGCTCTCTCACATGACTGTAGCTCTCTCATGACTGTATCTCTGTCATGACTGTATCTCTCTCTCATGACGATCTCTCTCATGGCTGTAGCTCTCTCATGACTGTAGCTCTCTCTCATGACTTTATCTCTCTCTCATGACTATAGCTCTCTCTCATGACTGTATCTCTGTCATGACTGTGGCTCTCTCTCATGACTGTATCATTCTCATGACTGTATCTCTCTCTCATGACTGTATCTCTCTCACGACTATAGCTCTCTCTCATGACTGTAGCTCTCTCATGACTGTATCCCTCTCTCATGACTGTATCTCTCTCTCTCTCATGACTGTAGCTGTCTCTCATGACTGTAGCTGTCTCTCATGACTGTAGCTCTCTCATGACTGTATCTCTCTCTCATGACTGTATCTCTCTCTCTCTCATGACTGTAGCTGTCTCTCATGACTGTAGCTCTCTCATGACTGTTTCTCTCTCATGACTGTATCTCTCTCATGACTGTCTTCTCTTTCATTACTATATATATCTCTCATGACTGTAGCTCTCTCTCGTGACTGTAGCTCTCTCTCTCTCTCATGACTGTATCTCTGTCATGACTGTAGCTCTCTCTCATGACTGTAGCTCTCTGACTGTATCTCTCTCATGACTGTATATCTCTCTCTCTCATGACTGTATCTCTCTTATGACTGTATCTCTCTCCCATGACTGTATCTCTCTCATGGCTGTAGCTCTCTAATGACTGTATATCTCTCATGACTGTATATCTGTCATGACTGTATCTCTCTGTCATGACTCTAGCTCTTTCCCATGACTGTATCGCTCTCTCATGACTGTAGCTCTCTCTCATAATTGTAGCTCTCTCTCAGGACCATGGCAGGTCAGTGCTCTCAAGTGGAGTGGTGTTATAAAATATATTGAATATTCCATTTCTGCGAAGGTGATGGACAGCAGAGCGTCTGAGATCCTTTTGGAGCCTGGGACCAGGAATGTAGTCCGCATTAAACATGAGCAGTCCATGTGGCAGAGCGTGTGTCATGGTCCTTCTCTGCGGGCCCGTCCTGGGGCTGTCAGTTGGACACACTCGGCTGAGCGCAGGTGGAATCAGAATTGCAGATGTGGAAAGGATGGGAAAGGGGAGAGTAGATTGATCTAGCAAATGGTTGCAATATAAAGCCGCAGAAAAATGGTCTGAATTTCACCAGTTTCTTGGCAGCAGAAAACAGAGAGTTAGAGTTACGCTTTCAATGATTTCTGACATTTGAAAATCACTATTTGGGACATAATAATGACTTCAATTTTCTGCTAGAGACCATTTCCGTTGTTGCCGAGCGCCAGGATAAGTTAACCGTCTGCTCCGTGGGTTGAGTCAAAAGATGTCTAATGTAAATTCAGATTTACTTAAATAAAACCACAGTAAAGAGGGTTAGCACCGTCTCGTGTGAGGTTAAGTCAATAATGTCACATCGCATTATGTGCTGCTGCTTCCAGCCACGTCTTATGCATTTGCTTATGTTAGAAAACAGACACACACAACGACACACACAACCACACACAACAACACACATCACTACACACACAACAAAACACACAACGACACACACACAACAATGCACACAACGACACACACAACAACACACAAAACTACGTACAAAACTACGCACACAACTACGCACATAACACAACGACACACACAACTACACACAGCACACACACAACTACGCACACAACTACGCCCAAAACGACCCACACAACTAAACACACAACAACACAAACAACTACGCACACAACTACACACACAACAACCCACACAACTACACAGTGGTTCTGTAGTCCGCGTTAGACAATATCACACATGGTACATTTAAAACACATGGACACTTGACAAAAGGACGACTCGCAACACAAGTTAGAGCAATATTAGTGTGTGTCTGCGTGCGTGTGTGTGTGTGTGTCTGCGTGCGTGTGTGTGTCTGTGTGAGAGCTGTTTAAAATGGTATAAAGGTACTTGTGTGTGTATAGTGTATTTAAAGTGTGTATAAAATGTGTAAAGTGTGTATAGTGTGTGTATAGTTTGTGCATAGTTTTCCTTCTATTAAAACCCTTCAAATAATTTCAGTTTAAATTATTTTCCAAACTTCTCAATGCGTCTCTGTCCCATTTATTTTGTGTTTGTCTGAAAATGAGATTTACTTTTTATTGTCAGACCATTTGGGGATTTTTGTTGCATACGAACGAATGAGTTCAGACTTTATGGTCTGGATTAGGCTTGAACACAGCAGCCCCCGCTCTTCCTCGTGTGCACTCATAGAAAAACACTCAGGACCCAATAAAACACCTGCCTCAGGCTCGGATTGAAACAGTCCAGACTGTAGTCCAGACTGTGGCTCACTTCCTGCAGCTCCACAACAACAGCGTCAGGATTCAGGACCTACAAACCTTTTATGACATGTGTTATCGATACTGTCTGGCTTTGATTCCACCGTTTGTGCTAAAATGTGATATAATGTGTGCTTTCTGCCCAAGGACCTGAACCATAGGTTTAAAAAGTACAGTTTTAAAAATGTTACAGAAACGATAAAAAGACATTTATATAAAACCAGTATATATTCAAAGAGACTTAAAACCATGGACCTTAGGACACAATATTCTTTATCTATGTTTTTGATAACGGCTTTATCTGTGGTTCTTTCTCCAACGCGTCAAATTGTAAAGTAATTTAGCTGCTGGCGCCCGGAACTCTTCTGGCATGATAATGCGATTTTTATTTTTTATTTAACTTTTTAATAACCAGGAGAACTTCATTGAGATGAATAATCTCTTTTTCCAGAGTGTCCTGGACCAGAGGCAACAAATTCAACATGTACAACATAAAGAAATAAAAGTTGAAGTTAAAGCTAAAATATTGAGATAACATGTGAAAGCACACATCAAATTAAACCAATAAAACACCAAAAAAAGAGAAATATTTCATATAAAACAGGAACAATGTGCAGACTGTTCTAAACATTCAGCGTCTCTTAAACAAGTACGAGTCAGTTCCATGAGTCCAAGTTTTGTTTGCACCAGATTCCATAAAAATGGTGCAAAACAGCAGTCCTCAGCAAGTCTCCTCTCCCCCTCCTCCCCCAGCACGACCCCCTTCTACCCCATCACAACCACCCTCCTCCCCCAGCACGACCCTCTTCCTCCCCCAGCACAACCCACCTCCTCCAGCACAACCCTTCTCCTCCCCCAGCACGACCCCCTTCACCTCCTCCCTCATCTCCCTCTTCTCCCCCGTCTCCCACATCTCCCCCTCCTCCCTCATCTTCCTCCTCTTTTCTCGATGCCAGTAAAAGCTTAAAGATGTTGCACAGTTTAAAAACACCATGAGCTGCAGATGTCTTCACTGTGAGAACATCACCTTTTGTACATCATTAAAGTTTATCTCAGTAACAGAGGTGGTTTATCTCGGGTCGAGACCAAAGCCTCAGTGACAGTTGACCACTATCACCTTCTAAAAAAAAACCATCTGACTCATTAGTCACAACAGTATCTTTAACATACATACATGTTATGAACAGTTCCCTCAGATTAAGGGTTAGATCTTAAAGTAAAAACATGTGATTATACAGTTTTCTTTTGGGTTATTATCCTTAGATTAAGATAATTCACTAGGAGAAGATTCAGTTTCAGACCTTCAAGACTAGCATAAAATCATATTCTGTTTTCCAAACAAAGAATATAATTGATATAGAACTTTCCCCATCAGAATAAGAACACTTGGTCAGGGCCTGGAGGAAACAGAGAAACCCCACAGAGAACGGCCTGGTCTGGACTGAGATCCAAACTTGTTCTGATTTTAATAATTGACAGTTCCAGCCATGGTCCCTGTTGGATTCTAATACTGAAGTATTATTGAAGTATTATAAGTTTGCTGCTTCATAAGTTTTCAGGTTTACAGACTTCTGTACAGTGTGAGTTATATATAGTCATACTATATAAGTACTTAAACTACTTTCTCCAACTATAAAAAGTGTATTGTCAAAGAGTGTGGTGTGGATCCAGTTTGATGATCTGTCGTGTCCTTCCTCTCTTTGTCACGGCCATTATCCCTGAAGCAGGAAATGACAAGTGGCATCTCGCAGATAAAGGCCAATTGTGGCTGAAGTCAGTCAATACAATGAGACGGATAACACTGCCTCCTTTGTTTGGCCTCTTTCAGAGACTCGTAGACTGCTTTACAAGTCCCAAATGTCACACACTTCATCACTGCCAGCGTTTGATTAGTTCTTCCTTATTAGGGCGCGATTGAGAAGGCCATAACTCTTCAGCCCAGAGTCATTATTTCGAGTGCAAGATTAATGGAATCAATATTTTGACACATCGCCTTCTCAATGCAGGTAATTGAAGTCACAGGTGTGTGAGTAATGGAGCTGGCGGAGGTGATGGACAGGTAATGGGATAAGGACTGAGAACGCTGTAAGGCACTTTGTTCTTCAGCTCTTAGGACGCTGCTCTCAGTAACATCTAAAACTGTACAGAAGCATTTTGTACTAATCTGTTTCAGCCATCAATGTCACACCACTCTTATTCAGTGGAGTCAAAGAGACAAATCACAAATATGTAGAGCCAATATTCATTTGTGAAGTGACAATATTGGTGTCATAATGTTAAATAAAACCAAGTCCAACAATTAACTTCATAATAACAAGTGTAATAATAATAATGATAATAATAAAAATAATTACAATAATACATTTTTAAAAATTACATTTTAAAATCAGTTAAAATTCAGGGTTAGAAGCATCATGGACAGAGGAGGTGTGGTTTTGGTGTTAGTGGATCGTATTTGGGGTGGATCGATCTAGCAAGTGATTTTATAGAACTTAACCTGTTATTACTGTTAACCACTCAGCCACCATGTTGACCTAGAAATATAAACAAAAGTAATCAGTTTGTGTCACATGTAGTGTGTTAGAAGGACACAGCTGTTTAGAAATTGTCTGGAGTAGATAAAAAGGACTAAAACATTTATAAGTCGTCTGGAGTAGATAAAAAGGACTAAAACATTTAGAAGTCGTCTGGAGTAGATAAAAAGGACTAAAACATTTAGAAGTCGTCTGGAGTAGATAATAAGGACTAAAACAAAGGACATCATTCTTCGTTTATATTGATCTCAACCTCTGTGATGGTGATTTCTTCTATTTTCATAATTTGATGAAAATAATTCTAGCACTTAAAATAAATGTTCCTCTTTTGCACCAAATAAAACTGTAACCTTGAGCTGCAAGATTAATACTGATTTTGTAATTTCATGTTTTTCCCAGTGATAGTTGTTAATTGACACTGACATGTTTAGCCTTTTTCAATAAGTCTATCTTATCTTATCTTACAAGTAACAACGGCACCCATTTGATTGAACACATTTCCAAATTAAAAAACCTAAACTCTCTCTACCTTGTCGCCATTACAGTATGTCCATGTGGAGTTTTCAGGTTTTCTACCATAGAAAAAACAAAAATGAAACTCAGTCCATACAATGATCTGTATTTGACAATGTAAACAAATATAGCACCCTAATTATGTGTTTCTCGGTCATAAACAAACATCTGACTGTTGTCCAAGTTTCTATGAAGCTGTTTCATACCAATAGATTATATTATATTAAATTATATATTATATATAAATTATATTATTCAGCCTTGAGTCTTAAAAAAAAAAAACTCCTTACACAGAACAGGAACTGCGTCAGAACCATGACTGAATAATTACATTATAATACAGATCTGACCTTGATCCTGAAGTCTGTATATGAAGTACACGCTGCACCTGCTGTAGACCTCACAGAACCCAGTCTCATCTGGAGACCTAACAGAACCCAGTCACATCTTGAGACCTCATAGAACCCAGTCACATAGAGCCCAGTAACTTCTGGAGGTCTATAGACATAGCAAAACCCAGTCACATCTGGAGACCTCACAGAACCGAGTCTCAAACCCAGTCACGTCTGTAGACCTCACAGAACCCAGTCACATCTGGAGACCTCACAGAACCCAGTCACATCTGGAGACCTCACAGAACCCAGTCACATCTGTAGACCTCACACAACCCAGTCTCAAACCCAGTCACATCTGTAGACCTCACAGAACCCAGTCACATCTGTAGACCTCACAGAGCCCAGTCACATCTGGAAACCTCACAGATCCCAGTCACATCTGTAGACCTCACAGAACTCAGTCACACATGTAGACCTCACAGAACCCAGTCACATCTGTAGACCTCACAGAACCCAGTCACATCTGTAGACCTCACACTTCGGCCCTGGGGCTAACTCCGGCCCACTACTCCATTCTAATTGCCCCTGAAATGATTTTCAATTATGTTTATTACATGAACTTGGAGCATTTGATGGAAACGGGCTACAATAGCATGTTATACTCAATTTCAAATGAAGTGTAGCATCAGGAAACCAACCATAAAATCTAATCTGTCCTAAAAGTTTAACTAACATGGCCCAAATATGTAGTTTTTATATTTAACTTTCTTCAAATACATCTCTTCTTCATGATTGGCCCAGACATGGTTGAAACCAAACTTACTAAAAAACACAATCCAAACTAATGTCACCTGCTCTTTTGTTTGTAGACCTGACCCTCATGAGTTTGACACCACTGCTTTAGAACATCAGTGGATTTGTCCAGTTCTTTTATAGTTACACATGAGGCTTAAAGTACATAGAATACATTTACAGAACATTAGAACTCCCCCAATCTGTAAAACTATTGCCAAGCCCTGACTTTTGTATTTTCATTATGGAGCACATCAGTTATTTTGGGTTAGTTCCCCAGTTTGGCATAATATTTCTTAATAAAACTCGCGGCTGTTATCTTTCCTCTCCAGATACAGTAACGTAACGAAACACGTGAGGAATGATCTTTCTTAACACAAAAGGATCAAAGTCATTTCTCAACTTCACATTTTAAGGAAAAGCCCAGACTTGAGTTGTACAGAACCGTCTCCACAGACCACACAACGAATACATCACGACTCTTTTCATTCTTACCTTTTCACTTTTCATGAAATCAGGCCACGCTGCAAAAATAAATACCGTACTTGGTGTCAAGATCCCTCACGGAGCCGGTTAGACGTGTGTTTTTCTGATGGATTCAAATGGAGCCTCAACCCAGAGCTCTTGATTTAGTTTGTCAGACAAGCACTCAGGAAAGCGGCTGCGTTTCAACACGCAGTGGCCTTCACCGATCCAGTTCCAGAAAGCACTAAAATCTTTTATGTTCAATTACCGCACAATTCTTCTTTATACTCACTGATGCTCTCAGATCGCACTGTGTTTATGACCCGCTGATTTCAGGGTCACATCCAGTCTTTCATTGTAAACTCGGTCTTGCCGTATCAGGGTTTCACCAAATCTCTTCCGAGGTTCAGACCCTGACCTGAGACCTGAGCATTACACGTCAGGAGAAGCTGCTTCCTCTGGAGTCAGGCTGTAGTCTAAACAGAAGGTGTGTGTGTGTGTGTGTTTGTGTGAGGTGTGTGTGTTAGTTAGCGTGTTTATAAGAGCAGAGGTGGAAAGTTTCAGATAGATAATTATGGCCTTTTCTGTGTCATGGTAAAATAAAAGTATTTTGTGTTAAAAGTCTGCGGTCGTGTCGTCAGCAGATCCTCACGTTCCTCATTAACGTCCACAGAGACCATTATGGTTCTGGTGTTTCCGTGACAACCGACAACGAGACTAATCAATGAAGCGCTCTCTCCGTACAGTGACACCGTATTAATGAGCTCCCAACACAGATGAGGGCTAATAATCAGAGCTGAGGATGGAGAGAACATGCAACACACATGAGCAGATCTGCAGAGACCTTGGACCGCTGCAGAGACCTGTGACTGCTGCAGAGTCCTGTGACTGCTGCAGAGACCTGTGACAGAGTCCTGTGACTGCTGCAAAGACCTGCGACTGCTGAAGAGACCTGTGACAGAGACCTGTGACTGCTGCAGAGACCTGTGACTGCTGCAGGGACCTATGACTGCTGCAGAGACCTGTGACTGCTGCAGAGACCTGTGACTGCTGCAGAGACCTGTTACTGAGACCTGGGTTCGGGTTAGCTTAGCTCGTTAGCTTAGCTGAGCCTTTAATTAGCGGCTGATGCTGTAAAATATCAGAATAATCCAGAGTTTTCCATGAGCAGCAAAAACACCTTGACCTTTAATGTTTATTAAAACAGTCCTACTTCACCACAGCCTCAGACTCTGGACTTGGATCATGGTTTAAAGACTCACCACAGCCTCTGACTCTGGACTTGGATCATGGTTTAAAGACTCACCACAGCCTCTGACTCTGTAACTTTTTCCAAAAGCTCTTTAGAATGTTGT